TTACTATTAAGCAGGCCTTCGGTAATCTCGGATTACTAGCCGGTTACAGTGCTAAACCCATAGGGGCGGGTTTGGGTCGTGACATTTAATTTGGCGTTTAATTTCTGACCCTCTACATTTTTCCTCTCCGTGCGTGGGGGACACGCTCCTTGTTTCCTCTGCGTGCATGACGTCAGCAAATAACCCAGGGGTTGCGTCGATTGGGCCAAGAGTTGTGTCGGTTTTCTACAGAGTCATAATGACTCTGAAAGGGTGCCTTTTGACTAGTAGTCTAGGGAAGTGTGCTGGCGCCCTTTTGTTGTTTTCTTTATAAATAGTATCTTTTGGGTTCACTAGTCCCCCATTTCCACCAGTACACACTTTCTTGTCTCCTTATCTTCTTCTCTCCCTAGCCCCCACGTTCTAATGTCTTCTTCACTTTTCTTTATTCTTCTTTATGGCCAGCACAAGGTTTCTACCTGACTGGGCTGTCCCACCCCATATTGAGTGGAGGAGGGCTCCATACTTTGGGGGCCTTGCCGACCTATTCTAGAAGGCAGTTGACTCCTTTGTCTCTAATGCCCTCATTCTGGAGGAGCCTCTGCTCCCTTTTGGTGAGGCCACTTCGGATAATGCTGACATGGTGAATCCAGTCTCTGTGTTGCGGTTTTGCGTAGAGCACAGTGACTTTCCCTATTTATACATCTATTACTGCCCTCAATTGGGCCCTTTGGCAGATTGGTCCCTTTAGGTCAATGATGTTATTGCGGACGACTACTTTGAGCAGCGCTTGAGGGATGCTCGTCTCTTCAATGCCGTTTTGATTTCGAGGGAGTTGTTCGTGCGCAAGGTATATACTAACATTGATATGGTCATTTCCTGCTGGAGCCACGACACTCACACCTTCATTCTGGCCTGGGGGGAGATAACCCCAATTCTTGAAGATGTTGCCATTCTTCTGTGCTTAAGTACCCATGGGGACCACCCTTTTGATCCAGTGTCCCTAACTGTTGCGAAACAGACTGATGTCATTACTCTCCAAGGTGCCTTTTGAGAGGCACGAAAGTATGGCTTTTGGTATGATCTCTGGACTGCGGAATTTCTCCAAGAGAGGCCCAAGAGGGACAAGACCACCTACCTCTCATGGCTGAAACATTTCTTCAAGGACCTACAACCGGTTGTGGGTGACATTACAAAAGATAGTCGCAACTCTATCGTGGGGCCGGTTTACTGTGGCAACTTATACCTGGCCACCTTTGTTAGTTATTTCATCTTTTTTTTTTTGTTCTCCTTAGTAATCCTACTGAGAACATCAATCCACTGGTGTTCCCTTTGGCTGTGAAACTCTGTAGCAGTAGTCAGATCCCTCTAGCTCCCCTTTTCTTGGGGAACTTATACTTCCATCTTGATTTCATTCACTCAGACATGGAGAGGTCCATGGGTCGCTATGATGTATGGAGCTTTATACACACTCAATTCTTAACCGCCTTTTTCTACAAGCAATTCCCTACTATGGGTCCCGTCCCTAAAGAGCATGAGCCCTTCTTCACCGATGAAGTCCTTGATACAGAGGGTCGTCCTGTCCTAGATGCAGAAGGATGACCCATCACGAGACAAGTGCGCCAATCCCTTCCTCGCATATCCAGGTGGTCTGGTGTTGGCATTAACAGACCCTTTGTGGATTACGTCAATCGCATGGAGTAGTGTGTGTTCCACCTTTTTACCCATCTTCTTCCAGGCATCTCTGTTGTTCCATTTTATTTCTCAGAGGCTCGTCATGTTGATTTCTCTCTTGATAGTGTCCGAGCCAACTCCCTTCTTGTTGTTGCTATACGACGCCTTGGGTTTCTGCCTGTATGGAACGAGGAGGACATGTCCAGCGTCGCCTATCGACCGGATAGGGTCCTTAGATAGTTTGGCATGGATCAGGGTGTCCCACATGCCCCTCTGCCTTAGACAGATTTCCATTAGAGATTCCAGTGAGTTGCTCGTGACTACACCGCTTTACTTATGGAGGGTTTAGGCCTTATGCAGCTGCCCTTGCTTGGAAAAGAAGACACCTTCACACCTAGTAATAGACTATTTTGGCACCGCAACCTTAACTCTTTTCTCAACTTTTGCAACATCAATCCAGTTGTCCCTACAATGGAACCCATTCCATAACTTGACTTATCCTTTCGTCTCCCATCTGGTCGCGGGAAACAGACCAATGTATTTTGTCGTTTCAAGATTTTGTCCTTGCCTACGGTAAAGGAGCCTCATCCGTCTAGGGCAATGTTCATCCAGCCTCTGCAAGTTGCTCTCCCCCCTATCGGCACAACAATACGTATGACCTGCTCCCGACTGAGGGCAGCCCAAGAGGCAGTGTCATTAGTTGTTGAGGCTCGCACCTCACCAAGTAGGAAGTGACTCCAGAAGGTACTCATACTTAGAAAAATATTTTGCATTCTTCCATACTTCCTTGGGATTTTTATCTTTACTTTAGTAGTCACATGATCTTTTTCCTTTTCAGGCCCCATCAGCTATACCACCTTCGGGCCCCGGAGGTCCTTCGATTGTCATTGGACTTTCGTCAGATTCGGACGATGATGACGACCTTCTTAGCACCTCAAGAGTCACCAAGCTGGGAACTCACAAAATGATACTTCGTGATATTGAAGAAGAACCAAATGTTGAGGTTGACCCAACTGCTGAGGTTGAGCCAGCTGTTGAGGTTGAGCCAGCTGTTGAGACTGAGCCAGTTGCTGAGGTTACAGACATGGAAGGAGGTCATGATGCCCCCTTTGTTAAAAGCGAATGACTTTCCCTTGTTGTAGAAGTTGCAGAGGGTGGTACAGCTACTGAGGGCGCTGAGCGCCCAAACCTTGTTGATTCTGTTCATTTTGACCATTCCTCTGTTGGTAGAGAGAATTTTGTTCCTGAGACTCCAAGAGAAGAGCATGGCGTAGGAGAGCCACTGCAAATTGCACCACTTCCTTTGCAAGCTGTAGCTGGGGGTTCTTCCCAGTTCACTGAGTTTCCACTAGTTCAATGAAACACACTTCCCGCTGTCCAAGTTGCTAAGGGGGGTGTAGATGTAGCGACTGTTCCTACTCTGGACCCCCCAAGTTTGGCTTAACTTGCAGAGGCAGTTGTCAACCTAGCCACCCATGGTACTACTGCTGTTGCTGATGCTTCTAACCCAGTTGCCTCAGCAACTTCTGAGCAGCTCGCTGATCTGTACCCCACTTACTTCCCTAAGGTGCCAGCTAATCTTGGGAGATCACGAGACTTTTATGTGGGCATGGACACCACTATTGTGTGAGATCTGAATGTTGAGGACTACTGTATAGACGACCTCTTTTTGGAGTGACATGATGGTGTAGGAAGCTTTGGCCTTTCTTGCGAGGTTAGTTCTCTCGGTCGCCACCCAGCATCTACACATTCCAATGTCGCTGGGCAGTCTTCTTCAGGAGAGGTGTGTTGCCCTCAGACCTTTTGTCGCTCTGTCAGTTTCCCTCTAGTAATTGAAGCTAGCGGCGGTGTAAGAGAGTTCCCTCAGTCCTCAGGGAAAGTTTCTTTTCTATGTTATTGGGTCTCCTCTGAAGATGCTCCCACTCTTGCCTGCATCCAGGCGCTGCACCTTGGCACCTTTACTGCTTTCAACATTTCAGGCTCAATGGTGCAGACAACGTTGTTGGAAAAACTTTCCAGTTTCATTCGCAACCTTGCTATGAAGAAGATTCTGATAGCCCCCAGTAAGTTTGTGGAGAGTGCCAAGGCTAACCTGAGCGGCTTTAAGAGGAATGGTTTGGACCTATTGTGGATGGAGGCTAGGCTTCAGGCAGTCAATGGCTTCCTTGAGCATGCAAATAATGTGGTGATGATTGCATCTTTGGAGGAGACTATCAAAGAGTGTGAGGGTGCCTTGGAGCAGCATCGGCAGAACCTAACTTGGTTCAAAGAAAAGGACTCTACGCTGGTTGCTCAGTTGTCTCAAGATGTGACCTTGATGGACTCCCTCATTAAGGGTTTGATTTGATTTATTGTGGCTTTGTTATGACTCTTTTTCTTTGTACTTTTGCTATCTTTTTTCTTTCTTCTTTTCCCTTTGAACATTGTAATCATGCTATGAAAAACTTTGATGTTTATGAGGAGCAAAGATATTGAACAATTGAATATTACTTTATTGCTTTCCTTTCATTGTCATTACATAGCTTCTAAGGATAAGCACTACTCTTGTTATGAACAGAACTTCAGTATGACTAAGTTTTTACAAGGGTAAAACCAAGTATGGAAAACTTTCCTCACACTAAGTGTTTACAAGAGTAACATGTTTACTAAGTGTATGACACTTTCTTTAAACTTTGCTTTGAAAGTATTAACAAATAAACTTACAACTCTTTTTTTGAACAAAAGAAATTAAGGAAAATACTCCTTTACATACTTAGTGCTGATAGGGCCAGTTCTAAACCCATCGTCTACTCTTGTCAACTTGTAATACCCGTTGCTGCTTACCTCAGCTACTTTATAGGGGTCTTCCCATCTGGGTGAGAACTTGGGGATTGGTTGCCCCCGCATGATTGCGTCCACTGTCTTCCATACCAAGTCCCCTTCATTGAACTCCATGTGTTCAACATACTGATTGTAGGTGCGAGCTATGGACTGATGATACTTTTCCATTGCCCGCGAGGCCCGATCCCTTCTTTCTTCCACTGCCACCATGTCATTTTTTCTGCTGTCTGGAACTAAGTGTGCTGACATAGCCATTCTTGCTGAGGGTACTATCAACTCAACTGGTAACACAACTTTAGACCCGTATACTAGGGAAAATGGGGTTGCCTGAGTTGGCTTCCTCTTTGACGTTCTATACGCCCAGAGTGCTACGTGGAGTTGTTTAGACCATGTGCCCTCTACTTCATCTATCATTTTACTTAATATTCAGATGAGAGTCTTGTTGGTTGCTTCAACTTGTCCATTCCCTTGAGGATAGTATGGAGTAGACTTGTGGTGCTTGATCTAGCAAGCGTCCAGCAGCCTTCCTACATTTTGTTATCAGACAATATTACTTTGGGTGTGCCAAACCTACAGATTAGGTTTTCCTTGATGAAGTTAGCCACTCCTGTCTTATTTGCTTTCCTCATTGGTATAGCCTCTACCCATTTGGTACTAACCTCAGTCGCTGCAAGTATCCATCTGTGGCCTTTGGATAGCTGCGCTATAGGACCTACTAGGTCGAATGCCCAAGTATAAAATGGGTAAGGAGTCTTCATGTTGTGTAGCTCAAGAGCCGGTGCATGTATCAAGTTCCCAAACTTCTGGCAAGACTGGCATCTCCTTACAAAGTTTTTAGCATCTTCTTCCATTGTTGGCTAGTAGTAGCCGAGGTGAATGAGATGTCTATCTAATCGTTTCCCTCTTTGATGCTCTGTCTTGTGGGCTTCCCTTAGCACTTTGTTTGTCTCATCTTTTGTGAAGCACGCCAAAGGTTTCCCTTCAAAGCTTCTGCAGTACAACTTGCCTTGGTCAAGGAAAAAGTGGAGGGCTCGCCTCTTAACTCTCGCCTCTTAACTCTGATTGCATCAACTTTGTTCTCAAACAGTGTGCCATTTCCAAGGCAGTCAATATATAGCTGCCTCTATTCTTCATTGCTTAAGAAATGGGCTTCATTTTCTTTAGGATGGGACTGACATTTTACACATTGCCTTTATAATTCAGTACTTTCTTTTTCCATCTTTTGCCAGTAATACCCCTGCCTCTGCATTCGTCGATATAGACTGATATCTCCATATGCGCAGGACTTAGCATGAATCTTCTTAGGTCTGTAAGTTGCTTCTTGTCTACCGATGCACCTTACTAGCAGGTTGTTGGGACCACGAAAATACAACTCTCCTTTGAGGAGTAGTGTAGACACCCCATTTTTGACCGTCCTCAAGACTTGGAAGTCACCGCTCGAACACTCGGTGATTACTCATGTTTGTGTTTCGTTTTGAGTTCCCGGAGGTCTCGGCTATGCGCCTTGCCTCAGGATCTCTCAACTCGACTGTTCTGTGTTTGGTTTTGCACCAAACACTTGTGTTTTTGTTTATGAGGGTAGAAAGTAGCTTGTTAGCTACCCCTGACACCCACCGGCCTTGGTTTGAGGCCACCGGCCATGTTTTGAGGCTACCGGCGATTGGTGAATTATACTATTGGCTGATCGGCACTCAGTATGGCCGGCCGGTCATCTGTTTGGCCGGTGATCTCATTTTCTGGCCGGTAGTACCTTTTTACCTTTTTCAGACATGGTTCATGCTAGCTGTGCCAGCTGGAATGCACCAAACCTGCCCCGAGGCATACATGTGGCTGTTTTACCCTTTTTGCACCCTTTTGGTCAAAGCTTCTTGAGGAAGCTTGAAGCTTCCTCAAGAAGCTTGCCAGCTGTCCTAGCTTCCTCAGGAAGCATTGTCCCCTTTGCCCCGTTTGACCCCTTTTTTTGTTTAGCTTCTTTGAGAAGCTTCAAAGCTTTCCCTTGTCTATATAAGAGACCTCCCTTCTCCTTTGATTGGGTTGAGCAAAAGACCAGAGCTATACACATATATATCTGATATATATCATCCTCCCTCTCTATATCTCCCTCTCTCTCTTCATTTTGTGTGTGTTTGAGGGCCTAAAGTGTGTGTTTGTTCTTAGTTTTGCACTAAAACACATAGCATTACACCTTACTTCGACTTTGAGAGACATTGAGGTTTGTTCTTGAGGTTTTGGACTGATTTTGGTCAGAAGAGAGTGGCTGGGCCTGCTGTTCTTGAAGTGTTCTTCAAGGGTAACACTTTTGCTTTATTTTCCCCAATCTTGCATTAGCTTTTGACCTGTCTTTCATGCTGATTTAAGCTTTGTGTATAACATAAAAAAGTTCTGTTTTTTTGTGTTTAAGATAGTTTATTAAGGTCACTTTTGTGTTTGGGGTCGTTTACCCCCTCTTAGGCCTTGTTTGGCCCATTTTTGTGCTATTTTTGGTGAGCTCTGGGACCACCTTGTTTGGGCCTCCTCACCACTGAAATCTTGAGGGATTTCAGTGGTGAGGATGGTGATTTAAGGTCCTAAGAAGGAGAGGGTCCCCTCTCTTTGTTGTCTTGTTTGTTTGCATTTTTGGCCTTACAAAGGGGCCTATATTTGCAAACTACTTGAGCTCGGTTCAGGCATTTTTCAGTGGGTTTTAGGACCCCCATAAGCCATTTCTAGAGTTGTTTTGGTCATGTTGAGTGTCCTTGCATGTGTAGAGTAACCCTCTTATTGGCCTTTCAAAGGAGCACCTTATTCTTGCATGTATTGGACACATTTCAGTGGGTATTTGGTCATATTTTGGCATGCCTTAGATCTTTTTTTGCTTGGTTTAATGGTCTCTCACATGCATCATATGCTTGCTTTGCAATCCTATGTTTTGGCCTAACATGCATCATGTTGTGAGATGACATTTTAGCATGATTTTGGTTAGGTTCCAAGAGGGTTTTAGCACTGTTTTGCCATGCTTAAGGTCTGGTTATGGTTGTTTTGATCATGTTTGCCATGATTTGTATAGTCGTCTTGCATTCTAGCTTACTAGCCTTGGGTGTGTGGGTCACTAGTATGCTTTACTTGGATTATTCTCATGATTTGGCATCATTGGAAACCACATTTCAGTCCAAGTTCCATGTTTGCATACTTGCATTTTCCATCCCTTTCATGCCTTGAAGAGTTGATGGCTTACGCTCCATGTTTAGGCCCTTGTGCATGCATGCTTGTGTATGTGTTTTCATGCCTTTGTTGCATCATCTTGACCACTGATTTGGGCCTATTTGAGAGCTGCCCATTTTGGTTTAAGACCATTCCTACATGTCATTGCATGCTCATCCATCTTGCATGCTTGTTAGTTTGCATAACTTGCATGCTTGCATATTTACATTGCTTGTTCACATGCTCATATTGCATGCTTAGCTTCCATGCCTAGGTTGCATAACATTAAGCATGCATGCTTTGCCTCTTGAATTGAGTATGATAGAGGTTGAGTTCATTGTGTGTTTGTGTGCATTATATTTGACATTAAAATGCACAACTTGGTTTCTTAGGCCATCACGCATTGAAATGTGCGATTGGTGGTCCGAGAATCGAGCACCATACCCCTTTGAGTCTTAAATATGATAAGGGATGTGGTGATGCATACATTTGCTTGAAATGCATTGCCATGCCATGTTTTGTCCTCTGCTGCTGTCAAAATAGGTTCTGCAGGAATATTTGGCCGGTCGACTACATGGAGTGCCGACCGACCAATTATTGATGGCCGAGAGCTCAACAAATGGCCGATGACCATCCGGACATGGCCGGTGGTGTTCCCACTTGGTCGGTGGTGCTCCACAGTGTCCATGGAGCATACCTTGGGAGTTATGCAATTTTCAGAAGAGCAGAGCAAGGAAAACAGTGGCAAACTTGTGCATGGCGTTGGATTTCCGAGCAAACCCGAACACGCATTCATGTTCGTTTCGCATGCACCGGGCTCGGCGCATCATTCTAACTGCATTTGTATTTCAATTCCAAATTGAATACATGTTATCTGTCGCATTTCACATGTCATTGTAGATTAGCCGAGCCTATCATAGTTGCATTTTGCATGTGTTGTATTAGCCATCTTAACATGAACTAGGACCATGCGTATGATTACTAACTAGTTTCTGTTTTGGCTTGGAGTACTAGGTAAGTTTTTATGCTTTAACATCCTTGCATGTGTGTGAGTGTTGCCCTGACAGCATGATTACCATGAGGCTAGTTGCTTATGTGATATAACTGCTTGAATGCCTGTGGATGGAGGTTGAATTACCTAAATTGGAATAATGCATTAAAACTGTGAGTTTTAAGCCCACTAGATAGTGGCAAAACCATCTTTTCTAAAGCCCACTTGAGGGTGGCAAAATCTGCATTTTAGCTTACTTGCGAGTAGCAAACCATTTTGAAAACAAGCATGAAATGTTTTGTTCCAATTTAGGCAATTTGGTCTATACTTGCTTGCTATGCGCATAACATAGTAATTCTAGGCTAATAACCGGAATAAGAACACATAACGTTTTCAAAAACGGATATCACGGTTAGTAGAGGCCGATCTTCGGATCGGGTGAGAGGGGGTGCTCATAGCTGACTTTCCCCAATCGTACCTGAGCTCTCGAGCCGAGGCAACTTTGGTGATGATGGACACGTGGCCTTTGGCACCGGGTCAGGGTTTCCTAAATTTCCCCATAAAAAATATAAAAAATATTTAGGTGGCGACTCTGTATCTGGCAAAGCAGTCCATGTTTGGCACTTCTTTTCTAAAAATCTGTTTTCCAAAACGATTTGCCAGATTTGGACTCTTTGGTTCAGATTTAGGACCGTGACAATTTGAGAGTCCGAACTGTAGTGAACCCAATATGAACAGAACGGGACTCATCCTCCTGGGGCGTTCGGGAACGTCTACAGTTTCTGGCGACTCTGCTGGGGATTTTAGAGAGCTTGACTTGAACTTATGATATCCTGTTTTGATTTCATTTATGTGTCTCTTTGCATTGCATGTGCATTGGTGCGCTCAGGACACCGTGTTTGCCATCTGCCATTCCTGAACGGTTTGCCGGAGGCTTGACTTTGTCAAAGCATGCCATAAGGCTGACCAGTTGTGGGCTCTGATAGTATGGGAACACAAACCACGGTTTTACCGGGGCACCCTTTTCGACCATTCGACCTAGTGCATATCGAAATCCATAGTGACTATTCCAAACTAGGACAGGCTGCTTACCCGATATTAGGTTGTTTAAAACCGCTGTCTGCGTAGTGAAACCCTAGCTCCTGACAAAATAGGACAGGGAAACCCTACCCCAACATAGGGGTGTTTTGGCTCTCACTTATATGCTATGTGCTTTAGAGTTGGCCTCTACAGGATTGCATGTATCAGTTTGCAAGTTTGAGTATCAGGCCTGTGGGCATCATGATCAGTATTTGGGGAATCAGTTTTACCTGAGGGTATCAGTTTACAGGCAAAATTTTGGGGCAGAATTCAGTAGAGGGCACAGTTATCCTAGTATGCTCATATCTGTTTTGGTGAAATTAGGCTGAGGTGCTGTCTGTTTTCTCTTTTGCTTGGTAGTCCTGGAACCATAGCTTCAGAAGGCTCTAATATCCCCCGAGGTTCATCGAACTTGTGCTGATAGACTTTGTCGGGTCAGAGATTCAATTCAAGGGCAATCAGTGTTCCTTTGACAGAGGCAGCATAAAAGGGTTAGTCAGGCATAGATCACCAGTTCAGCAGTTCCCAGATTAGTGGCCCTTATCCACCCCACTAGTGAACAGTCAGGCTGAGGCCTCAGTTTTTATCACAGAGATAGAT